AAAAGGTATTAGCTGCGATTCCCGAGCCTTGTCTCCTTAACTCGACTGATGCGCTCAGTCGGTTCTGTCACAGCAGGAAAACTTTCTGCGGTAGTCTTCCCTCACAGGCCTCCCACTGTTCCTCCCAAGCAGAGCCAGAAGTGCTCTGAGCTGCCACCGCCCTTTCCTTTCTCCAGCAGCTCCCTTCGGCTGCCCACGGCTTTGCAATAGGGAGGGATTTTGTTTTGTTTTGTTTTGTTTTATTTTAAACTTGTCTTATGGCTGCAGAGTTTTGGCACACTCAGATCATGTTTTCCAGTGTTTCCCTGGCATCATGAGAGCCAGCAGTGCATATTACAAAAAGCTGAGTTTCAAAGTATCATCTGGGTCCACGAGCTCAGGCTTGAGCTGCAACAGCAAACGTCATTAATACCACCCTGGGTGTCAGCAACTAGAAGTGGAGCCCATGTCCCAAGCACATTCTTGTCTCTCCCTCTGGCATGCTCCTGACAGTAGCATCTGCAGGGAGAGGGGGGGGGAAAGCTGGGCATATCGCCTGATGGTTTCTTCACAAGGATAGGAAGAAAGAAATGTTTTGCCTGTGAATTTCAAGAAGTATTTATTTTCTTGGTCAGAAGCGACTGTTACTGTGTCTGCAACCTCCTCAACATACAGAAATATCTCCTTCATCCTAGGGCTTCTAAATACCTAGGGATCATGAGGCACCTGTTTAAAGACTATCACTAAGTTATTTCCTTCAGCAAGTAAAAATCTACAGTTATAGTATTATTTTTTTTTTTTCGAGCAGAATTTTCATTGTCCTGGAGGAAACAACGCAAGGAACTATGCCACTATTACCAGCAGGAGAACACCACATCTATTCTAACTTAAGAGGAAAACCCAAAAGAATAACATTTGCAAGCATCAGCTGAATTGATTTATACACTGCTATAGTCTATAAGCAACATTTTTTTAAACCATGTTAATTTTTTACTTTTTCAGCTACCACTAAAGCAATTAGCAGAACTCATTAGCCATCTGACATTTTACAAATTAATGATTTACTCCTGTAAACTGATAGAAATGAATAGTAAATAAATCTTGATTTAAATGGGATCCGGAAATCACTCAGTCCTGGAATACATTTAATCAGCATTCATGGTTTTAAAAACAGAAGTGTTGAAAAAATTATTATCTTCCATTCCAGTCTAGTTTTTACTCTATAGAATTAATTTTGTTCATGAAATTATTCAAGGGTAATTTTGAAAAGACAGCAAACATTAAGATTTCATGTGACTGAAATAATAGCAATGTGTATATGAGGAAAAGCTGAACTTGCCTCAGTGGATTTCCATTACTGCAGACATCTTTATATTTTAATATACTCAGACATAATCCCTTATCTCACTGGAGTAAGACTAGAATAAGTGAAAAGCATCCAGGAGTCTCTACTGTATCCATTGCAATTCAGAGACCTGACTTTTGATACCTGGCCTAGATGACACTTTAGTATAGACAGCTCTGTATCACAGTAGATACTGAATTAGATGAGCTTTAAAATTAAATCTTTTGAGTAAAGTTGGAAGTCTGGCTTTATGGTTCATGATTATCTTTGGGAACAAAGTTGAAGAGAAATTCTGTCCGCATTAATCTGAGCGTAGCCATGATTGTACCACATATGATTCCATTCTCCTCCAAGCAGTCTCACTGGCAGGGTGACTGCTTTCAGTAAGGCAGCTGGACTTGGATTTCACAACTGAAGAATAATAGAAGTGTTAATTTTGTGGTTTAGTCAGTGGAGGAAAAGCTTGCTTTATTTCAGTAAGAAAGCTTTGGTATATTACTGAGCTTCCTCACATTATGTAGCTATTGTGATCTCAGGTTTAAATAATGAAAATCATCAAAAAAATTTTTTTTAATTTTCATCATATTATTTATACACTATCCTCCTCCTCCCCAAGGCACTGGTATTTTCCACTCACTCTAGCACTTTGACAGAATGTTTCTCACAACCCAAAATAATTGATTATATTTATCTTTTTATCTTAACAAACATGCTATACATAAACGACTCTGTTACACATGGAAAGAGTATCTATTTGATAACAGCTCAAAATACAACCTATGCAGTGGGACCCACACAGGCCATGGGTATTGAGTATTATTTCTACTGAACAGGAACTCTGTCAACAAATCCGAACACTGAAAGTGAAAATTCTTCTATTTTTATATTGACAACTTGTGTGTTCCTTCTGGAGCAACACACAGTGTAAGTAACTGCCAAAGTATAGTTACTTTGAATTTGTGTATTCTGCTGCTGAACTTCGCAAAATGCTATCTCAAAAGTGAAATCGAAGTGAGGTTGAGTTTGTTTCATGAAACAGTATCACTTCCTAATACTAAGAACTTCTCCCAAACATCAAGAAATTGCACTCATAGACATAGTTTAGGGACTTCCCTGTCCTGAGGGAAGACATTTAATTCCAGGAGGAGTCCCAAGCTACTTAGTAAACAAAGCTAGGACTAAAATTTTTAAAAGCATATTAACCAAAGAACACATAACCCTCACTATGGAAAAGCTGATGTTTCAAGGCACAGGTCACTAGAGAATTTGTATCTGAGCAAAACCTAGTCATAGTCAAAACTGAAAGTGAATTGGTGCTCATTTCCTTTGTTAGCTTCAAGTCTTGAATCCTTAGAGTCAATAATATTTATCTATGATCTATGACATGAATCCTACTTGGCTTTCTGTGTAAGGACTCAGTGGGAGAGACATAGATCTCCAACATTTCTATTGATAAGTTTCTAATTATAGAGCTGAGCTCTCCCTACATTCCCGCCACACACCCCCCCTTCTTTTACCTGAAGTTTTGAATGGTACTGAAATGATGTTAGGGGTTGTTGACATCTGTTCTGGTAGAGACAAGGCTGCTGCAGCTCCACGTTCTCGGCTTCAGCCAGTAGTGAGAGCGAGCACGTTTTCCCAATAGGCACACACACGGATACATGCATATAATACACCTTAGGCATGGCCAGCCCCACAGATCAAAACAGAAAGAAAACGCAGCAGTCACACAAATGGCTTATCAGGATGAAGGTCTGCTAGTGGGAAACACATACAGGGTGGATCCCTGCAGCAGCTGGCCTCACGTGCTCAGGATGCCCAGGAGCTGGCCCCTGGATCCCAGGTCTCCCCAGCTGCTGACACATGAACAATGACAAGCCCTGAGGACCACAAGCTCCACTCCACTTGCTGATGCAGACCCCCTCGCTCCCAGCTACGCACACCCCCTCAGAAGGACGCTATGGATACTGCAGCAAGTGCCTTTAGGCCCTTGGTTTACCCAGTAGCTGGCCCCAGATCCTTGGTCTCCTCCCAGCTGCAGGCATCTAAGGCAGGTGAGCACCCAATGCCCGCAGCCCTACTCCAGTTGCTGGTACACAGGAGCCCTCTTGCTCACACCAACACACATATAGACACACACTGACTCCGAGGATCCCTCCAGTGACTGGCCTTAGATGCTCAGTCTACCCAGCAGCTGACCCTTAGATATTCTTATCTCCAGCTGCTTTGCGTACAGACACATATGGATGGGTCTCTTGGTCGACCACCAGACCCCACGGTCTCCACAGCAGTGGGACCTCCTGGACCCTTCAGTGGCCAGCTCCTCAGTTGTCTCACACACAGAGGTTGACTGAGAGACTCCTAGATCCCACAGTCTCGCCCGTAGCTGGCTTGGACCTCCTGGTACCTCCAGTATCCGGCTCTGAGAAGAAAACAGAAAGCGACGTCCACTTACTGCCGAGAAGGAACAGACATTTAGACGCAGAAAGCACTAGATGGCAGCAGTGCTCAACTCGTTCAATGTGGATACAAAAGGAGAGCAGTCCCCTATATTCAGCAATGCGATTTCTATGTATTTCCCACGGCACCCGAGACAGGAATTCAATACTAAAGACAAGGTAGATAAAGCTCACAAAGCTGTTGATAAAATGCTCAGTGAATACAGTAGGCAATAGCAGAATCAAGCAATCTTCCAACTTGCCACTGGCATAAGAAAAGACATGAGGAGTAGTAATGTGACAGAACCACTAACTGTATTTCTCAGTATCAGAGAGAAAAGTATTGCATAACTGGAGAGGTATACAATGCTCCTGTCTCATCTCCCACCTCCCACTTCCAGGGGGTTGGGCAACGCCACCCTTTTCCCCTCTGCTTGCTGCACCACTGCCCTAGTGCTGCTGGAGGGAGAAACACCCCACCCTGCCAAGGACTGGCAATCTCTTCTCTGCAATTAGTGGCAACGGTTAGTGATTAATTCAGACAAGGCTTAAGCTTCAGGTACTTGAAGGAGAGCTGGTAACATGGTAAGATCCAGAAAAAAAGTGTGGTTGTGGCCCGTTCCCCTCCCCCTTCAATGACTCAGATAAACTCACTATCTAGACATGCAGGTCTCTAACCTGCATGAGTTCCCTTGTGCTACCTGATCACTAGGTGTGATTAAAAGGCATGGCCTGGTCCTGGTGATGGACAGTGCTGCTGTCCTCTAGGCACCAGCAATTATGAGGGACACAGCCCGGGTCACCTCGTGAGACACAGGATGCAGATCCCCAGCACCAGCGGTTAGTGGCTGTCCTGCAAGGGGATTAGCAAAGGCTGCGCTCAAACCTAAGCTTAGATCACACATTAATGCAGATTTAATTTCACGTTAAAAAAACTGCCGACCACCACCCAGAAATGAAGCCATACAGTGCAGCTGCTTAGCAGAATACCTTCCCTGTGCTCAGGCAATGGCCGAGAAGGTCTGAGAAGAAACCCACCTGCTGAAGAAGAGCCCTTTGAAGGCGGCTCCTCTTCCTTGCAATGTCCCTCCCCTCGGCACATCCCCACCCCAGGCCAGACAGGCTCCGCAGCCAGCCCCTCGGCAGTACCCAAGGTGGTCGCCATCGCTTCCTCCACCTCTGCCCTCCACGACTGTTAGCAGAAAAGCCTCTTGGACAGGGGGAGTGGGCTAACGGCCATGCAGCCTCAACTGGGGCAGCCCCAGCCCCCCCCCCAACCGGCCACCACTGGCCCTCAGCCACCAGGGACACGGCTGGGGGCCGAGCTGGGTCTGTAGCTCTGCTTGGGGGGCCACAGGGGAGGCTTGGGTTGCAGCCACACGCGGCTGGCATACTCCACGCTTTTTGGCGAAGCTGGCAAGAGGCACCCACATGAGGTCCCACAGCACCTCTGTGAGGGGCATGGCCCCCGGGTGGGGGGGAGCCAAAGGTGGCTGTGTACCTAGGGAAGGATGTTTTCATCAATCTGGATGCTTTTGAGAGCAGCCTCTTCCGGCTCTCCATCCCAGAAGAACTTGAAACCAAGGAAGCCTCACCTTCAGCACCATCAGTGCCATCACCTTTGTGCACAAGGACAGGGTTTCAATAGTGGTCAACAGCCAGGTCTATGTGTATTTCAAGAGCCTCAACAGGGGGGTCCCATCAGCAGTAGTCACAGCCCTCGTGTCCAAAGTCTCAAACACCCACTGCTGCTATGTGGGAGAAGACCCCCAGTGCAAGGAGCTCAGCTGGACCCTTTTTGCTTATGACACCAGGCGCTCGGTCTCCGACAGCCACATCTTCCTTTCACAGGACGGGTCTTACACTTTTACACATGTTGAGACTAGTACAAGAGAGCAAGGAGTGCTGCTCGGGGTCTACAATCTCATTTCTTCTGCTGTGACTGGCCTGTTGATCGACAGAAGCAGAGAGGATGGGGCAGGGGAGGCAGCACAGACCTATTTCAGATATAATGGTACCAAAAAGTCGTATGTCCAGCCATAGCTCTGCCACCTTCTACCTGCTGCCCGAAGGCCTTGCTAAGCTTTGACGTATGCAGACTCTTGCCTTGAGGGGTTTCACCATCCTTTGGACAACAGATGCTTTGCTTATATCTGCCAAAAATGGCTTGATCATGGAAGAAGTGACTGTCATGCCCTTGGAGACTTTTCAAAGCACTACCTTCCCTGGCAGCAGTTTCTTACCTGTGACTGCTAGCAGCTCCCAGACTGCAGTCTTGACGCGGGACAGACACCTTTTCTACGGCAGCATCGGCCGGGTCACTAGCATAGTGCACCTCGCCAAGGATGAGAGCATAGATTTGAAAAATACAGGGATGCTGTGTGAAGAAAGAGGGTGGCTGACCTTACTCAGCTCTGTGATTAGCAATTTCACCCAGCCGTATGACTTCAATAAATGCAAGCCCAACTTGCAGTTAGCAGTCTGGAGAACTCAGCAGTTCTGCACTGCGGAGATCCTCATGGGAGACTTCTAGAACAAGATCTATTATGAAAGTCCAGCTTTGAAGGCCATATTTGTGCCCAAGCCAGGCGAAAGGTCCACTCCCCTGGTGACACTGAACAACAACCATGTGCTGGCTTTCAGTGCATATGTAATAGAAGTGGGATTTACCTATGATGGAAACACCAAATACCTCTTGCATATAGTTCTGAAGCAGCAGTATTTCTCTGAATTTGCAGACAGACTTCTGTGACAGCATACATGATGGAGAGATGTCTACTGTCACTGTGGATATCCCTGACAATGCAGTCAGTTGTATTGATGCGGCTCCCCTGACTGCACTTGTTGCAGTGTCCTGCCCACCTACAAAACATATCAGAATTGTAAAAAAATGTAACGGCATGTGACAAAGGCCTCATTCAAGAAGCAGGACTGAGAAATAATTTCAGTTATACAATCAGCCATAACATATGAGATGCACACTTTCTTGCCAGAAAAGATATACAGCAGGACGATCACAGATCAAATATAACTTTACGAATCTGGGATGTCCTCTTCTGGTACATTATAAAAATCCTTGGATGCCAGTTTTTAAGTTATGGGGAAACAATAGATTTCAGGAGCATGTCCCTATTGTTCTACTTGAAATAAACAGAATGCATAACTATGATTATCTTTTGACTGTGCATGATGCCAACTGCATCTCTCAACCTCAAAGCTGGACTTTGCTGGAGGAACACAGTCTCCAGATCCAAATACTGCATGGACCAGAAGAAACTACATGAGCTGTAAGGATAGGAATGGACCTGAACTAATGTGGCCCTCAGTCAAGTATCAGGTTCTTGATGGAGACAAAAATAAGATCACTTTCCCTCCCTATAATGGTCTATATATCTTCAAAGCCAGTGTAGTGGATACATTTAACAGTTACTGTGATTTATCCATAACCTTCTCAGTATATGTCTATGGTGTTTTTCCCACAAACTACCTACATTTTGGGGCATCACTGACAGTCTCTCTGACTTTGCTTTTGATTTTTACAAGATACTCCCTCTCTCATTTATCACTCTAAAAATTCAGATGCAGAAGTTAAAGTATTTTGAGTGGAATTTTTCAAAGTCTCTGGGAAATCTAACTAGAGAAGTTGCCTTTTACTTCAGAAATTTTTGTTGTTACGAAAATGCAATGGAGAAACTAGGAAACTAGCTCAATGTCTTCTTTCTAATTAGAAAGTTAAAGTTTTATTATTTTGAAATTGAAAGAGATAATTTTAGATTTTTTTCCTCATCTTTCATAGTAAATTTTTCACTGACCCTATGTAGCTATTCCTATTGTTTCACTGTAGAGATAGTCTAAAAGTCTTTCCAGTACAAGTGCATGATTTCAGAAGCATGGCAGCTTTTAAATTTAATTTTAGGAAACAGCCTTTAAATTAAGTGGACTTCAGATGATTTCTTACTAATTAGTATCAATTCAGGCTGTGTGACAAAGACCAATTATCTCCAAACTTGAAGTTGTAACCAACTCCTACAGAGAGGATAGCTTTTCACTCCTGCCGAGTATCAAGAGAATACTACCTGTCTTAACTGTATTGTGAAAGCCCAGCATTATGTAGAATTCTAAATCCATTGTATGGATGGACTTATGCATTTAAAGTAATTTGGTAGACATTTTTCTAATAGGACAGTAATAGTCAATTAAAATTAAACCAACCACAATAGTAAGGAAATGGCCATTTTGTCTACAAGTTAGTTTATAGCAAAAGCAGTATTAATTGTTGTCTATTTCAGATAACTACTTTAGAATCCTGTAAATTTGCAAAGTATATGACTTTTATATATTTACTTATTAGGCTAGTTAAGGCCTGTCGTGGTTTCAGCCCAGCCGGTAACAAAGGACCATGCGGCCGCTTGCTCACTCCTCCCGCCCCCCTCCGGTGGGATGGGGGGAAGACGGAGGAGAGAAAAAAAACAACTGGAACCTCGAGGGTCGAGATAAAGGCAGTTTACTGGAACAACACAAAGAAATTGCAACAACAACAACGGTACTAATGAAAAAGTATACAAAAAGAGTGATGCACAGTGCAACTGCTCACCACCCGGGACCGACGCTCTGCCACCTCCCCCACCAAAAAGCAGAGCCCACCCCCCGGCCCGCTCCCTATTTATATACTGAGCATGATGTCCCATGGTATGGAATAGCTCCTTGGCCAGTTCAGGTCAGCTGCCCCGGCTGTGCCCCCCACCTCCCAGGTTCCTGTAAAAAATTAACTCTATCCCAGCTGAACGCAGGACAAGGCCTTATTCCATTACACAGAATGTTTAAACAGGATTTAAATAACGTAGTTTAAGATAGAGACATTAAAGACGAGTTTCTGTCATAAGTAATTTAAACTTTAATTGAAAGCTAAGATTTTTTTTGTTTCAATGCATAGAAGAGTTTAGTTTACAGGATGAGGTGACAAGTTCTGAAAACTCCACAGCTATATCAGTATAACCAGCCCTTCTAAGAAATCTTTAGAATGAAGTACACAATTCAAGGGGAATACTGCATTTAGTATGATTGCTACTATTTTTGAGAAGGTAGAAGGGGACTGATACTCAAGACCAGAAAAGGCACAAGATCTTGCTATAACATCATAGTCATCTTCTAGAACAGTAAAAATAATCAAAGAAATCTCCCTTCAGGTAAATATTGTTACTGAAGCACAAAATGGAACCTCTTTGTGAAAATTATAAAGGAGATTCTGGCCATTCCTTCTGCTATACTTGTGGCCAGCCTAATTGCAAGTGAGTCATTAAAAGTAGTCTTTGCTTGCCCACAAAATAATTAAAGGTTTCATCTCCTCTAGTAACCACCAACTATAATTACTCCAGAATTTGTGCTTAAGAGCCTGAACAACAACTTAAATGGACCTTCAAGATGCAGGCAGACTTTTAAGCATTTTTTTGCGAATAGGTTTTGCCTGTTGTCTGCCAGGGCTTTCTCCTGTGCTGCTCTGCTCCATTTCTTCCTTCTTGTCTGGTTCCAAACTATGAGATCCCATCCCTCTTCTTCCCACAATTTCTCTAAACCTGCCCTTTCCTTTTCAACCCTCCTGCCCAGCTCACATACCTTCACTCAGTTTGCCTGAATGACAACCACCACCTTTTTAAAAGCCAGATTTTGGTCCTCTTGGTTCAAAAAAGCAACAGTTGAGGTCATTCCCTTGGTAATCACTCTGCCTGCAGGCACCATCTGGCCATCATCCTTATTTTTCATTACAGTGAAGGCCCCCGGTTTTCACCTGGAAAGCTCTGTCCAACTCCACTCCTCTCTTCCTTCCCTTCCCAGTGGCTGAGTTTCCTACTGCTCTTTCATGAGACATACTCAGCCCCATTCCCTCTGAGCACTTTCTACATTCCCCCTAACTCCTCATGACAGGCAGCTTTCTCAGCACCCTTGTCAGATAGCATCATGAAGAACTCAAAGCAACTTAAGCCGAATTTTTGTACCATTCAGCCACCTAGTCACTTCTATTACCTCCATGTGGCATTCTTCTCTAATATTCTTAAGCAGCTTTAATTATAAGTACTTTGGAAGTGTGACAGTTCATACAAGCAGAACATCACTAGATACTGCCCCAAGTCACATGTACCAGTAAATGTATACAAGTTCTGTAAGCAAACTAGAAATATATGGAGTATTAGTCATCCTACTTCAATGTGCACATGAAAACTAACCAAGGAAGATTATTTTTGCTGTTTTATAGAAGAGAGAGAAACAGAACAGGCTAGCTGAATTACTAGAGCAAGTGGAAGAATAGCAAGTAAATAAACAATTTAGCTGCCATATTATGAATGTTATTTATACAATGGATTCAAATATTAGAATTCACTCTCAAACTTAAGGAAGAGATGTAAAGTGTAGAAGTCACCAGCTGCACAGATTGGTATTCTCTCCATTCACAAACTATGTCTTCATAAACATTGCATGCTTTCTATATCACGTTCGCAGCCTACTGAAGACACTATATAGCCTTATTACTCCAGATTTGCATTGCACAAAACAGTAATCTGCCAATGCAGCATTTCACCAATTTTTTGGCAAAGAAGCCTAGAACCACCTGAATTCCCATAGTACAGGATGGACCAGTGCATGCCCTCAAGTCAGAAATTGAAGGCAGAATTCATCTCTATTTAGGAGCAAGTTTGTTAGTGACTTATGCATTTATTGCTAGTTAAGGCCTTATTCCATTGCACAGAATGTTTAAACAGGATTTTTTGTGTATCTAGACATTAATTACTTTTTTTTTTTACATATATCAAGTATTCCAGCCCAGAATGAAACTGGGCATTTTGCTTTTCACCAAAAACCCCTAATGGTTTTAGGTTACAGAAGTAGTAAAAAATGAAAATTCATTAGATTGCTAAAACCAACAAAGATCCCCTGGATCTAGTAATTTCTGAGGGCTTGTTCTAGCTATCTCAAAGATGCAATATTTTGATTTACTCTGAGCTGTAGCATTGCTGTGACAGATGCATTAGGACGCTCTTGTGCCTTGCAGCAGGTTCACAGGATTCTTCTGAAGGAGTATTGCTCTGCAAGTAAGTTTCAGCCTTTGCAGAGATACTTACTTGCTCAATAGCAAGACAAGTTTCATTTCAATACAACTGTTTTTCATCATCTCTGTGGGTCCATACATAGGCACACATTGTTCCATGTGAGAATTCATTAAGGAGCCAGGTTTACCTCTACCTCCACGCTAGCTCCTCACCTAAGCAATCACATAATAAACTTCTGTTCTGACATGCCAATGACTCCATTTTGAACAGCTCCATGCTTTTTACACAGCATAATGTGCATCATGAGCAACGCACCATGAAGGAATCAGTGCCAATTTGGAAATAAAGCGTGTTAATGGTTACAAAATAGTCATTCCTTGGACACAGGATGACAGCATTCTTCTGCAGCAGTATGCTAAGCTTTAGACGTTAGTGTAACAGATACTGCTTTTCAGTAAGTTGTCTTAGAATATGACAAGTTAAAAGACTTCAGTATTTTTGTAATCACCACCTAAGGAAAGAAAATAAAGGAAAGGTTTCACTTAATTGTGAAGAGAAAGCAAAAGTTTGAGTTGTTTGGGGTGGATTTTTCTAGCTACGTGATACTGTGTCTACAGCAAAATTAAAGTCTGGCTTATTATTATAATAGGGTTGACAACCTATCCTGCTGAGCTTTGCCTTGTCAAGAACTCTTTGGGAACACTTGGTATATGTACAAAAAAAATCCAGGTCTAGATACACAAACATAGAAAAGCATCTCAAAACTGCATCATTGAAGAGGCTGCTGATTTTACCCATGCTGAACAAAAGAAAACACTACTCTAGCTCTTTTAGCTTCTTCCCACGTCATTAGCTCACCATAACCCTATAAACATTCTCAGAAACATGAGGAAGCGTCAGTCTCAACAGAGTATTTCCTTCAAGCCAGGCTATAAAATGTATCTTATCACATTTTTTTACCTAGATTAGCACTAACGGAAACAGCAAATGTTGGTTTACTTAATCTGAAAGTTAGGATCACTGACAAGTAACATACCAGTCACCAGGACAGCACAGCCTGGTAGTTTTGTACTGTTAGTCAAGCCTGCTCTTTACAAGAGTGCAATTTCCAAATCACAGGAGACACTATTTCTTACCAGTTTCTTCTGACAGGCTGAAAAAAAAAAAAGCAGTTAAAACTTCCAACCCATATCTCACAAAACTCTTGTGGAAACATCCTCTATCAGAATAACGTGATTTGTGCCACTTGAGTATTTGAAGAAGTCTTAAAAATATACCAACTGTGACTTAGAAAATTGTGGTCTACAGCTGGATAGCTGAATGGCATCAATGATGACTTCTCTTTCCCCAAAAGAGTGCGAAGATGAAAAGAGGACTGATGACTTAGTGTAAGGCTACAATGCCAACAATCATTTAGAAAGGGTAGTCTTCCAATCTGCCCAATAGCAGAGAAAAGCCCTCACCCCCAGAAGCAATATATTTGTTAGATAATACTCAAGTATTCTCTTGATAAATCAATATGATCCAC